CGCGCGGGCTTCCCCGCAGTGGATCATCATCGATTAATTCCGCGTTTGTCGGGCTTCCAATCACCCGAGGATAAAGCATTGCATGTATTTCCTTATCTGTTGCAGGAATGGTAGAATCTGAGTCCGCGGGTGCCCCCGCCATACCAAAATCGCCTTCGACGGGCATGTGGAAGTTCTCGACAAACTCAAGATCTGCAGGTTTCCCCGCGATGGGTACACCCAGCCATTCTGCCAAGTCGATATCGTTGCGGCCAGCGAACACCTCCACGAACAGCGCGTCGGCGTAATTCTCAAGGGTCATGCTGACACCTAGATACCTGGCAGCCATGATATGAACAATTGTGGCTGAGCCGTCGGCAGGGTCGGCTAAAAGCGACTCCCAATCAACACACTGTATGTCGGAGTCCGTTTGAGCCAGATGCATTGACAGACCCCTGCCTCTTCCATCACCTTGGGAGCACTCGCGTCGGAAATGTTGTGTGCTGCGACATATGTCGCACTCCGTGGCTTTACCGTTGGCATCATTTGAGTGTCCTCGTCGTCCTTTACCTTTGCCTGATGTGTGCCTGCGGTTTCTGCCAGTACCTACAAACACTTCCTCATACTGAGGCCCAGTAAGAGACGCTAGGAATGCTAGTGCGCCTGTACCATGCAAGCCCCGACGCTTACCTCTGCCTTTGCTTCGACCCTTGCCCTTTCCTTGAAGTGACCGTCGCACAATACGTCTTACCCTTCGGACCGGTGTCTTCATGAACGTCCGCCAACGACGCTTGTGTCTTTGGTAGCCCAAAAATAACCATTGAGCTTGCTGCTCCTCAGTAAAGTATGTAAGCATATCAGAGGAATCCAAGGCGGTAGCTTCATCATCGGAAAACGCATCCGCATCGGTACCGGAGTCGAAGTCGGACTCGGCGGGATGACCCGCTGAGCCCATTAGGGTCGTAGTTTGCACGGGGGGGGCCGCGTCGGGCGGCCCCCCAGATCTGGCCCAGGGGCCTTGCGACCCCGAAGCCGTTCCACCGCTCTGAGCCAAAAGTGTAGTGGTCTCAGTTGGCCGTGGATCATCGTTCCAGACGTTGTTGGCAGGTTGCCCTGCGTTGGCCTCTGCGTGGAAGGTCTCGGTTCGGTGACCGTGGCTAAAGATACCACCAATATTGCCAGGGGTCCTCTCAGCTATGTGAGCATATGACCTCACACGGCCCAGTCGAGCGTCAAATTGCGGTTGGCCCCTCGGCATGCGGTGGTTCAGAGGCTGCAGGAGTTGCTGTACACGCGATGTCCCCACTCCCAGAGCTCTGACTAAGATTACTGTCAAGATTTGGAAGTGGGGGATATTGAAGCCGGCGGTTTCAGCTTCGTAGCGGGCTATTTCGAACCGCGCTAACGTCTGGTCGATACGTTCACCCGCATGGACTCGAAAGTCAATGAGAGCCATGCCAGAATTAAGTAGGCGTTCCTCCTCTAGGTTCTCGAACTTCGTACTTAAGAGGAACACAATGTAGGTGGCGCCGTCGGTGTGGCGACCGCCTATATTGACGCCAAAATTAATAACTGCTGGGGGGGCTCTCATGGCTTAGTCCGTGCGAGACCTCCCAAACCTCGCTGCAATGCAGCGGCTTGCTGGGAGGGCGTCACGTTGCCCGTGGCCACACTGATCCAAGCATGCACTCGGCGAACGAACTCGAGAAATGGCACTTGACCGGCAAAGCCCCAATGGGGGCCAGTCGTTCTAGCGTCGTCTCCGCCCCGCATATGTCCTACCGCACACCCAATAGCGACCCATATGAGCCCAAAGATAGCAGCCCCAATCCAGTGGCCTCGTAGATCGTAGTCGGATGTAGTCGGTGGGGACTCATGTTTTGTCGTCGTAAGTCCGCGTGGGGTCGGAGGCGGCAGAATATCGCATCGCACGCTTCCGTGCATTATGTATTCGAAGAAATGTCCGAGTGGAGTAGGTGGGTGGACTTCAGGGGTGCAATGGCGCAGGGATGCGAGATGTGAGTGAGAGACCTCCGCTTGGACAGAGGTATCGCTGCAAGTTTCCCTGCGGCACTGCGCAACTGCGCACACTCCTCCGCGAAATCCAACTGCACCCTGATGTTCCACCGTATCTGTAGCCCACCAGATAGCGCCGTGGACGGCGAGGAGTTGAGCGAGAGCTGACCACCATAAGCCAGCTCAGCTACCAAGTTTGAAGGGGGCTGGCCGGCCCTGCCAACAGCTTCGCCTCAGGCGAAGCCAAGCTCCAGCTCTGTTGCATCGTAGTAACGATAGTCCCAGTATGAGAGGAGATGCCATCTCAAGCAATGGGAAGACCCTTGTGGTCTCGATAGCGATTACATGCCTCGCAGCGAGGCACAGTCAAATTTGGGCGGCCGGCCGCTTGAGCCAACGCGGCCGCGGGCGCACGCTCGCCCCCACCCTTTACGCCCCTCAGCTCGCTTTAGGGCGAAGAGACCCCCAACTGCACATGTCAATGCCTTTCACGCCCAAGATGGCCCCGAATGGACTAGATGCCTCCAAGACAGGCAAGATGGCCCAAGATGGCTTCCAAGTCCGCCTAAGATGGCCCAAGATGGCTCCCAGGACGGCCCAAGAGGCCTCCAAGAGGTCCTCCACGAGGGCCCGCAGAGGCCAAAATCATTGGCTGTCCTAAAGTTGTTGCAGGGCGTTGGCGATTGCTTTTGTTTCTGCTATACGGCGGCCCAAGATGGCCCAAGAGGGCCCCAAGATCGCCCCAAGATCGCCCACGAGGCCTACAAGACGACTCCAAGAGGGCCCCAAGGACGGCCCAGGAGGCCTCCAAGACGCCCAAGATACGAGGCCGATGTTGCATCACAGTAGCAATTCGGCCCCTGACTTTCGTCCTCGGATCGGTTTAGTGAAGTGATGAATTTTGGTGTCCTCGCGTGGAAAAAAAACTTCACTAATCTGGGCCCCCCGGGGCCTCAGTGGGCACTGGGGCCCAAAATTAGTGAGTGATGGTTTTCGGGCCTCGGACAAGACGGCCTCCAAGACGGTCAGGATGGCCTCGGATATGCCTCCAAGACGGCCAACATGAGCTCCAAGACTGCCAAGATGGCCGCTAAGACGAGCATGCTGGCCCAAGATGGGCCCGATGGGGCATCCAACATGGCCCCAGAGGAGCCCGAGAAGTCCCACATGAAGGCCTGAGGGAACGAATGCCATTCATTGTCCTCAGGTTTTTGACAGATCGCGGCGCCTCCTCCGCTCCGTTGCTCCGACCGCCCAAGAAAGCCCAAGGAGCCTCCAAAATCGCCCCTGGGGCCTCCAAGATGGCTCCAGAAAGGTCCAGGAGGCCCCCAAGTCAGCCCCAAGAGGCCTCCAAGACAACTTCTAAGATACCTCAAGACTGCCAAGATGACCTCCAAGACGGCCAAGATGGCCTCCAAGCCAGCCAAGCCAAGATACCCCCAAGAGACCCGAAGATGGCCCAAGATTGCCCCAAGATGCCCCCCAAACAGCCCCAGGCGCCTCCAAGAGGTGCTCCTGGAAGGGGCGAAGAACGCAGAATGAGTATTTCCCTTCGGGGTTAAAGATTTTAGCATTTCCATTTTTTTCTGCCGCCCGGCGGCCCAACGCGGCCCAAGATGCCCCCGAGAGCGTTCCAAGATCGCCCCAGAGGCCTCCAAGATGGCCTCGCGACGGCCCAAGAGGCCCTCAACACGGCCCCAAGAGGGTCCCAAGACGATCCAAGAGGCCTCCAAGACGCCCTCGACCGCCTCCAAGACGGCGCTGAAACCCGACCGATGAGACCGTCACTCCGCCCCCTTCTGGCCTAACGGGCCCTGTTTCTCCTTGCAAGGCCCGCTGGCCACCAGGGGCGCCGATTGGGGCATCGGGGCACGGACATCGGGATACAAGGGCGCCTTGCTCGCCCGCGGGAGAAAGGAAGCACAGCTCCGGGGGGGGCTGTCGCCACGGAGAGCTGCCATACCGACCGACGAGACCGTCGCGCCGTTCTCCTCTGGCCTAACGGGCCCTGTTTCCCCCTGCAAGGTCCGCCGGCTACCATGGGCGCCCATTGGGGCATCAGACACGGACATCGGAAGGCAAGGAACGCAACTCTGGGGAGACCTGCCGCCGCTGAGAGCTACAATTCCTGCGCCAGCTGGGGAGGCGCCGCGGGGCCCCCCTCTTCCGGGAGGGGCGGGGCGGAGCCTGAGTAGGGCGCCATCGTCGCCGATGGTGGGGAGCGGAGGGGGGCCTCTGTCTCGACTGTCAGAATTGCCAGGGTTGCCAGGATTGCGACTGAAGGTCGCTTCTTCTCTTGCCTCTGCCAGGCTTCTACTCTGGAGCACATCGCCCCCTCGGCAGAAGGCCGAGTTGTCGCCCATCCTTTCACCAGGGGCGGCGGTGAACGTCCTGCGCTGCAGCCGTCGGTGGGGATTGTCACGCTGTGGCTGGCGGGCGTCGCACTGATCGTTGTCGTCGTCGCGCGCGCGGTCTGTAGGAGGAGTCTGTCGCGGTGGAACTGGTGCAGGCGAGGGCTGCCGTGGTCGCCGCGCTGGTGCTGAAGCCCGTCGTCGTCTCCTGCTGCGGCTGTTAGTTGTCGCGTTGGGGCTGCGCCGTGGCACGCAGCGACGGTCGCCCTCGTTCTGCGGGTCGCCCAGCGCGTCGCGGCCCACCCCCACTGGGCGCCCGATCGGGGGCGCGCCGAGAGGAACACCACGGCGCTCATCCATCGCGATGCAGACTGTGTCTTGATCGCCCCCAGCACTGACCACCCGCAGTGCCGCGCGGACCTGGTCGATCTGCTCGTCCGCGCCGAATACCGCAGCCGCAGCTGCGTCGCTCGCGCCCCGATCCGGCAGCTCGACGGGGCAGCCCGACTCGCGCCGGACGAAGGAGAGCAAATCAGCACCGCGAGATAGGAGTTGACCACGACATCGTTGCGGCCACGTCATTTCGCCCCAGTAGCACGGCCCCCGCCCACGCCTGGAGACAGCACACTCTGCGCACTGGGTCTGCACGCCGACCCGGTCCGGCGCGCAGCGGCCTGGGAGGCCACCCCAGCGGAGTCGTAGGAGCCGCAGGTCGGCGAGTTGGGTGACGGCGTCAGCTGCTGGTCGTGACCAACGGCACCGGGTGCAGAATACGAGGCCGCGCCGCGAGCGCCGATGTCTGGCGACCACAACCCTGTGTACCAAGCGCGTCAATGCCGACTCTCGTTCCCTGTCTGGCGCCGTCGGCGGTGGAGCGGTCTGGACCGCCGCAGCCGCAGCGTCGGCCATTGCCTCGGCGCGAATCCCAAGCCACAGTCCGCGATACTCGAAAACCGCCAGGTCGGTCTGTCTGGCCCGTCGGAGACACGAGGGTACGCCCACGCTGGCGACGGTGTCGAGGTGGAAAGCCAGCCCCCGCTCCACGGTAGCTTCGATCGCCAGGGAGGCGCCCTGCAGCACGCAGCGACGGGCGTGAAGTTGTTAGTTCGTCACCACGTCGAGGTCCATGCCGCAAGGCCCCCATCGAAGCCGGAAGGCGCCAGCCCAGTCCTGGAGAAGTTGGTCGGCGGGGACGTCGGTTCGGAGGAGGCCGCGGGTGCACAACACCACCTTGCTCAGGTGTTGGGGGGCTCGGTTGACTGCGCGGACCAAATCTTCGAACATGGCCAGACCCGCGACTGCGCAGAGGTCCTTCCCGTCCAACGCTGCGAGCAAGGAGTCGGCGTCGAGATGCTCGCATGCCGGGTACACGTCGGATGCTCGGCGTAGGTAGCTGAGGTACGGGTCGCGCACCTCTAGCGCCACGCACTGCGCGCTCCGCGCCCACGGGGCAAACAAGCTGTCGATGTCGATGCCGACGCTGTCGGCGGGGACGCAGCGGCGCTCCAGGAGCCTCGGGAGGTTCGGGGCCTCCGGGTCTCGCGGCTCGGCCGGGCCATGCCAGAACCTGCGCGCGCCCGCTGCGCGAAACGGGCACGCGGAACCGCGACGGCAGGCCACCCTACGAGAGCGGTCCTGCAGGTCACCAGGTGGGCGCGGGAGCTGGCGCTGGTGCTGGTCGACCTGGTGTTGATGCTGATCCTGGTGTTGGTCGGTCGACTGGTGGAGGTGGCGATGCTGCTCAGGATGAAGACGCGTGCGTCAGATGACGCAGCGAGGCTGGGTCGGAGTGCTGGTCAGAGTGTTGGTCGCGATGCTGGTCGTGGCGCTGGTCGGAGTGCTGGTCGTGGTGCTCGTCGTTTTGCCGGTCGTGGTCCTGGTGGTTGCGCTGGTCGTTGTGCTGGTCGTTGTGCTGGTCGTTGTGCTGGTCGTGACACTGGTCGTGGTGCTGGTCGTTGTGGTCGTGGTGCTGGTCGGAGTGCTGGTCGTGGTGCCGGTCGGAGTGCTGGTCGTGGATCTCGTCGTTGTGCTGGTCGGAGTGCTGGTTGTTGTGCTGGTCGTTGTGCTGATGCTGGTCGGAGGACTGCTGGTCGGCGTGGTGTTGGTAGGGAAAGTTGGCGACCAAAGGAGGACGGCGAACACTCGCGAGTCTCCGCCACGCCGTCTGCACCCGCAACACCGCAGCCGCACGGCGCCCTGTGAAGTCCCCGGCCACTTCAGCGAGAGGCGCGGCACTGTGTCGGGGCTCGTCTGGCGAGGCGCATCGATCCAGGCAGCGCGCGTCTCGCTGTGCGAAACGCAGCGCCGGCTCGGAGAGGGCCGCAAACTCCTCGTCTGACATGTCGGCAAGCCCGTGGTGTCTGCCAACTGCGGCGCGTAGGAGCGTCTCCCGGGCAGCAGGGCTAAACCATCCAGCGCGCCGAAGCGCCACGGGGCCGTGGTGATCGCTTACGCCTGTGTGGTGGCATGCTGCCGTATGCAAGCGGTGGCCCGCCAGGACGGCACGCTCGCGGGCCGTGGCCCCGCCGGGGGCCGCCATCAATGCTCGGCGTTGCTCCTCAGCCCGCGTCCGCCTCGCGGACTCGATCTGCAGGCGCCCGCGCAAGGCCTCGATGTGCATGCGTCGCTGCCAACGTCGAAGGCGCGCGCGTGAGATGACGCAGCAAGGCTGGACGGAGTGCTGGACGGGGTGTTGGTCGTTGTGCTGGTCGTTGCGCTGGTAGTAGTGCTGGTCGTTGCGGTGGTGGTTGTGCTGGTCGGTGTGCTGGTCGTGGCTCTGGTCGTGGTGCTGGTCGGAGTGCTGGTCATGGTGCTCGTCGTGTTGCTGGTGGTGGTGCTGGTTGTTGTGCTGGTCGCTGCGCTGGTCGTTGCGCTGGTCGGAGTGCTGGTCGGAGTGCTGGTCGTGGTGCTGGACGGAGTGCTGGTCGTGGCGTTGGTCGGGGTGCGGGTCGTGGTCCTGGTGGTTGCGCTGGTCGTTGTGCTGGTCGTGGTGCTGGTCGTTGCGCTGGTCGGAGTGCTGTTCGGAGTGCTGGTCGTGGCGCTGGTCGGAGTGCTGGTCGGAGTGTTGGTCGTTGTGCTGGTCGGTGTGCTGGACGGAATGGTGGTCGTTGTGCTGGTCGGACTGCTGGTCGTTGTGGTGGTCGCTGTGCTGGTCGTGGCTCTGGTCGTGGTGCTGATCGTTGCGCTGGTCGTGGTGCTGGTCGGAGCGCTGGTCGATGCGCTGGTTTGTGTGTTGGTCGTTGTGCTGGTCGTGGTGTTGGTCGTGGTGCTGGTCGTATTGCTCGTTGGAGTGTTGGTCGTGGTGCTGGTCGTTGCGCATGTCGGAGTGCTGGTCGTCGCGCTGGTCGTTGTGCTGGTCGGAGTGCTGGTCGGAGTGCTGGTCGTGGTGCTGGTCGTCGCGCTGGTCGTGGTGTTGGTCGATGTGCTGGTGCTGACTGGAGTGGCGTTGATGCTGGTGCTGGTGTTGGTGCTGGTACTGATGCTGGTCGCCGAGGGAAGGGGGGCCCGTCGCAACACCCATTCGTTCTGGGCTAACGGGCCCTGTTTCTTCTTGGAGGACCGATGAGACCGATCCCTCGTTCCCTTTCTGGCCTAACGGGCCTTGCTTCTCCGTGTAAGACCGATGAGATTGTAGCTCCGTTCCCTTCTGGCCTCCCGGGCCCTGTTTCTCCTTGCAAGGTCTGCTGGCCACCACGGGTGCCCATTAGGGCATCAGGACACGGACATCGGGATACAAGGGTGCCTCGCTCGCCTGTGGGAGAAAGGAAAGCACAACTCTGGGGAGAACTGTCGCCACAGAGAGCTGCCATACCGACCGATGAGACCGTCACTCCGTTCCCTTCTGGCCTAACGGGCCCTGTTTCTCCTTGCAAGGTCTGCTGGCCACCAGGGGTGCCCATTAGGGCATCAGGACACGGACATCGGGATACAAGGGTGCCTCGCTCGCCTGTGGGAGAAAGGGAAGCCTAGCTCTGGGGAGAACTTTCGCCACAGAGAGCTGCCATACCGACCGATGAGACTTTTTTTTGCCCCATTCGCACTGTATGATGCTACGCATAACGCGACAGAATCACGGCGGAGAGCCTGACTTTGCATACGTTGGTTTCCAGGGCCCTTCACTTGATCAACAGCTGGTAAAACGTGAAAGCGGTCTTGGTTGCAAAAGCCGCTAGATGTCATGGTTTGCTGGAGAAGTCCGTACCCGCCGTCGCTGCAAACTGCCAGTCGGACCCTTGCCAACCGGCCGTGGGTCACCGGCGCAATGCCCCTCCAGCGCGGCGGACTGCACCCCTCCGCTCCGAGCGTGCCGCGGTGCCTTCATGACGTCGGACAATGTTGCCTTCACCGTCCACTCGTTGGCGTCCTCAAAGCCAGCATTGTGGTCCATGCTGAGCGCGACTGTGGCTTTGAAGCCATAGCTTAGTTGACTCGTACTTTTGCGGGCCCGCTTCAGGCGCACGCCCGTGCACATCTGCGAGGAGGTGAAGTCGCCGCTGTGATACGCTGCGCTGAAGACTGCCTGCGCCGGCAAGATGAGGTCCTCCGGGTTGACGGCCAGGTCCAGCAACCTGATCCCGCCCTCAGGCAGCCCGACAAACGAGGCGAAGCGGGAGCAGCACGCGGTGACGGGGTAGCCGTTCTCGAGCACCTTGAAGTAAAAGTCTATCTCCTCGAGCAAGTCGAGTTCATCCGAGATCTCCTCGATACTCGCCACGGAGGCTGGCCTCTTCGAGAGCGTCCTGAACTGCATGTGCACCTTCTCGCTCTTGCTGCGTTTCCTGACCACCTTGGTTCCGTACAGCTCCATTTTGGCCGTCCACAGCTGCACGTCCGCATCGGCGTCGTTGTGGAGCAGCGAGAGCACGGCCTCGGCGCTGAGCTCCCTGCCGAGCCGGTGCAGGTGCGGCGGCCTGAGCCTCACCTGTACGGATCGCTCCGTGGTCAGGTCCCGCCCCTGGCGCAGGGCGCTCTCGCACAGCTCCTGCACGCGCTCGGCGAAGCTCTCTGCGCTGACCATCCACTCCAGCAGCCTCGTGCCCAGCGCCGACGGCCCGCTTAGCACGGTGAAGCCTGCGGAGCACTGCTCCACCGGGTGGCCGGCCTCGAACAGCCTGAAATGCACGGCCAGGTCCCCGCTGTCGCTCCCCAGCTGAAGCGTCCTGGCGCTCTCACCGTCGGAGGGCGCGTGCTCCGCGAGCGGCTCGGAGCACACGGGGGTGGCGTGCAGAACATCCTCTGGAGCATCTTTCGGCGGGGGTGGCATCCGGAACGACTCCGCGTCCTCCCGCACGCCCACCACGTGGAAGATCTGGTCGTCGAAATCCTTGCCGCAGATGTGGAACAGCTGAGCCGTCACGTCGACATCGTTGGAGTCCTGCATGGACGCATGCAGCATGTCAGCGCCCGGGGTGTCGCGGAGGAGGAACCCCCGCACCCGCTCGGACTCCGCGCTGCAGGAGAAGAGGTCGAGGAAGGAGACGTTCCGCATCCCACCGCAGGAGGACGTCCAGAGGAGCAGCGCCGCGAGGTGGGGCGACGGCTGCGTAATCCGCATGTCCTCTCCCAGATGCACCACCGCGTCGCACAGCTGGCTCAGCAGCCCATCCGCCGCGACCTCCACACTGTGGGAAATTCTAGCCTCCAGCACGGACTTGAATTGCGCGTAGCGCAAGCAGTCTATGGCCCAGTTGACGCAGAATATGTATGCGCAGGTGTAGACTTGGTAATTAAGGTGCCACACATCGGTGTGAAAGCAGAAGACCATCGTAGATAACAACACGTTCAAGCATGTGGTCACAAGAACGTCGCCGAGCATGAGGCTGGCCCCAAGGCGAACCGGTGCTGTAACGGCCACCCAAACAGCGAGGTCCCCCTCGCACTGCATAGCCTCAAATGCAAGGCGTACGTACACCAAAACTACTCCGAAACGAATGCAGCTGGGAGTTTGAAGGCGCGGGAAGGCAAGCCAAAGAACCGTAACGAATTGCCTGAATAGCAATACCATCCACGTAGTCCTGTGCTGCGCCGCGTCTACTTCGGAGGGCACCCCGTACCATGACCACAGAAATACGGCCCAGAGTCGGTTACGCACGAAATAATCGAGCAATAAACATGTGTTCAATCCTGCTGCAAGGGGCAACAGCGTCCGGCAGAGGTCAACCCGTGACATGACGACCATCTGCTTTATCTTCTGCTTCTGCGGGTCTGCTTCAGAATGCATGAACCGAGTTTTCAGCATCCTGCTCGCAAGCTCACCTGCCCTGCGTGCAGCGTAGATGCCCTCCTTGGGCAGCGAGCAAGCAATGAGGTAGCATGCCCAAGCAGACTGCACCACTGCCAAAGCCAATGCAATCTGGAGAAGTAATACGGCGACCTGCATGGGGGCGTTGGCAAAAGTAAGATGTTATTGGGTTCGCAGCCAGCCAAGCCTTGATCCTGTGACTTGAGCCAGAGGCTACGGACTGGTGGGGATACGCGGAGCGTCTGGAATGAGAATGTATCCGAGGTCTGACGCCTCCTGGGCGCATTCCGTAACGAAAGCTTTCACCGTGGGCCCAGGTCAAGACT